AGAAAATATTTTCCGCGTTTTCCGGTGTTCGGGGGCGGAAAATGTTTTCTGTGGGAAAACATTTTTCTTCCCCACCCCCAAATCCTTCATTGTTTTGAGGAAAATGATTTCCTCTTTTCACAAAGAGGAAATTATTTTCCCCCAAATTGAAGGCAAAATTGCCCATGGGAGGGAAAATATTTTCCGTGGGAGAGGAAGTTGATCGCCGGTCACCACCGTGGGCCGCCGGTCGCTGGCCGCCTGCCGCCGCCGCCGCCGGTTGCCGGTGAAAAATATTTTCCGAAACTTTTTCATATTGATCGCCGAACACCGGAAAATTATGTTCCGGGAAAATATTTTCCAAAAGAAGAATATTTTCCGCCAAACGAACGGAGCCTAATACTTAATTGATTTTCCCCGCGATTAGAATGGATAGAATTAGTGGGTAAGCCTCGAAAACTTGCATGACACGTTAAATATCGTATTGTTCTTAGGTACCGAAAGGGCGTTAGGAATCTCGATTTGGGATCATTAACGTAACCAAATCCCCGTACTTAGAATCTCTAGTTCGTAGAATCGTGGTATTTCTCCCATACCCCGATTAGGTTTCTAGTCTACCTACCAATAATGACTAGTGGCGACTCCAAAATCAAAAACTTAGACCAAATAGGAAATTATCATCCGCTGTCACGTGAGGTTTGATCTGGGAGAGACCCTTACACGGAAATACCTCCTTAGCAAGCAAATTCCAAAAGTCCAAAAAAGCGCGGCGCGACACTCCTCAAATTCAGATTCAATCTAGTCGACGTCATGTATAGCTTCTTGAAGCCCCATGTTCATCTTCTTGATTTCTTGAAGAGTCATAACTCTTTGATTAGGACAATCGGCTCTGAAGTGTCCATCGCCATGACACTTGAAGCATCTTCAAGCACTTCTACCATCGATCTTTTCGGGGAGTTCTTTGACAGATTCGATAACTTTCTCTTTGCCTTTGTCTTTTGTCGACGTACTCTTAGCATTGCTAGAAGAAATACCCTTAAAGAAGGTTGTCTCCCTTGTCGATGTTTTGGTCAATAAACCCTTGCCATGCTTTAATTTTTTCTCCACCTTCATGGCCAGTTTGCAAACATCTTCGAAAGACCAATATAGTTGAAGTTCAACCAAACTGGTAATCTCTCTATTTAAACCACCAAGGAAAAGAGTGATGGTCTACTCTAGCAATTCTAGGATATCGCACCTCATAAGGAGTTGTTCAAACTCCATAATGTATCCTTCAATGCTCATTCCGCGCTGCTAGAGGACTTTCATTTTGAGGAACAGGTAGTGCCTGTAGTTATTGGGAAAGAACCTCTTCTTCATAAGTTTTTTGAGTTTTTCTCAAGATTTGATTCGACTCTTTCCTTATCGAATTCTTTGGTTCTTCAAGTTTTCATACTAAGGCGAAGCATATATCTTCAACTTGAGAACGACAACCTTGCAACGCTTCCTTCTGAGTATGTGTGGAAGTCAAATACTCATTTGATTTTATGAAGCCAATCGACAAAGTCGTTTGGGTTGAGGTTTCCCTCAAATTCTCGCTCCTCCTTAACAATTGTTACGGCTAGTGCTATCACCTAGAAGGGAGTGAATAGGTGATTTTATGAAATTGTATAATTTAAACATGCGGAATAAATATAGTCGAGGTCAACAACTCATATGATCAATATCAGATGGATGCATATTACAAACTTATATATATAAGTTGTCGTGAGATGATTGCGTCTGATGAATAAGATGATGTTTTGATGAACTCGTTTAACAGATATGTATGCAGTATAATGTCAACAATAATAAATGAAAGTTTAGGGATAGAGAATACTGCACACAGATCTTTATAGTGGTTCGGCTTTATCAAGCCTACGTCCACTCTCCATGCTGGCAGCCTGTTGGCTGTATTTCACTATTGAATCACCAGAAGATTACAAAGAGCAGTGCTTCTCAGATGATAGACTGCACTATCACGTACACTCTTCACTCAAGTAATTTTCTTTCTAAAGTCACAACGTGGAATACAGTAATCACAAGTGTGTCAGATCGAAGCTCTATTCAGACTTTGGAATTCTTGATTTTGGTTATCCTCCTTGTACGACGTTTGCACTCCTTTTATACTCCTCTATGTCCAAACTATCCGTTGGACAGTCTTCAGAGGATTGATCTCCAAATCAACCCGTTGGAGAATCTTCCCAAAAGAAGATACATAGCCGTTAGAAGAAGAACCATTATCTCTAGGTGATTTGATCGCCCATACAATCAAATCAAGGTTTCCATAAGTGTAGTTCTTCGTATTTAAGGAACGATCTTGTGATTGCCAATTAGGATATCCTGAAATATAAATTTGATATCCTGAAATATAAATTTGATTGTCCTGCATAAACTTGCCAAAAATAACACTTATTGAATCTGACGAGTAATTTTGAGTCTAATGACAAAGTCCTATCATCGACTAAGTCTGATGGCTCAGCATTTACCTGCATCAAATAACTTAAGTGTAATTCTGGTCAGTAAAAGATTGTTTTGTCATTTTTCAAAACTAATTAGGGATTTTTCTCAACAACAATCATTCTCTTCATTCCTTTTTCTTCTCCAGGCTCTGTAATTCGAATCACTAGAGTTGCTTCCAGTGTTGTTGGATTCATCACTAGAGCTTTGGTGAGGATTTGTATCGTCATAGCATGATCGATTAATAGGCCATATCGGTGGTGGCTCTTACCTCATTTGATTCTCCAGGAGGTTGAGGACTCACTTCATTTGTGGTTAAAGCTCCGTTATGGCACGGTCACACCTTTCATTATGTGCTTGTTCCAAAGTCAAGTCTCTTGGAACCGGATTACCTACATATATTTTTTTATGAAAGTATGAGATAAGATAGAAGATAACTCAAAACGAGCTCAACCTTGAGCTCTAATACCAATTTGATGCGGTTGCAAGGGGCGGGCGATTGATGTTTTGAGTGACAAAGGAAGTACAAATAGAACAAAGTATATGTCATGGATGTCGATAGATAAATGTAAATGTATGATAGATTACGGTCACCACTAAGGACAAACCACCTGCCAAGGTTAAAGGATTTTGGGATAAGAAAAACTCACCACTAATGCTTAAAGGAAAACCACCAGCTAAGGATAAAGCACATCTTGATCCACCACAAAGGTATAATCCACTTTTCAAGGATAAAGGAACCAAGATAGAAGAAGCTGATCACCAAGGCCTAAAGGAAACCCACCAACCAGGGATAAAAGGCTTCTTAGCTCACCACCATCAAGGAAAAATCCACCTTCTACGGATAAAGAACCGGGAAAGATATTCGCTCACATAGAGGAAATTATCATATATTCAATTTTATTTTTTTTACTAATGAGACCACCTCTATTTATAAAGATATTGCGAAACTAACCAAAAGACTCTTTGAATTCCTGGCAACCAAACAAACTATTGAAGAATTCACCTAATTATGACTCTTGAAAGTAACACCACAATGAAGACTCATAAAAAACTGTGAATTAAAAGACTCAATAACAAGGAATAATTGCATTTAACTAGCATCGAATGCATTGAAACTTGATAAAATTCATGCACCCGTCTTAGAAGCCGAACAGTCATCATAGAAGGTCATCAAACAATGATAGAAATAAACTAGAGCAACCTCTAGTCATTAGGTTGTCAATTGAGAGTCTCGAAATCGAGAACAAGTCTTGTAAATCAACATCTAAGTAGTCGATTGACAATCGTGAAATTGACAACTTGTCCACTGAATTGACAACTCTTTTATAGACAGACATCATCAAGCTAGGTACCATTGAATCAAGTTGTGCCCGAAATTGGTCTTTCATGCAAGAATAAGGATTGAGTTGGATCAATCGACAAGTTCGAAGTTGAGCTTCAGAGTTGATCAATAGAGCCCGATGCTCCCGCATTACTTGTTGAAGATGGAGAACAACAACTGCAAGACAGAAGAAACAAAGTGTTTGAGTATGTCTTGAACTCTGTTTCAAGTTTCGACCCAATTTAAGTTTTGATAGCCGTATTGAAAATTGTGGCAACTTGACTTGAGAAAAATAAACGGAGATTTAGTGTTGGTAGCATAGGGCCCCCAAACCTGTAGATCACCACTAGAGCAGTATAAATACTGTTATTCTCGTGTTATTAGGTTTAAAAGTAGAGACAGAAAGAGTCTTAAGGTTATTTGTCCCATTTTTGTAATCCTTGAATTTGAATAGTGGATTTTGTTTCTCTTCTTCCTGTGGATTTTCTCGGAAGAGTTTTCCACGTAAGTCTTTGTGTTCTTTAATCCGTCTCAGTTTTAATTTCATTGTAGTTTTCGCATTGATCATAACACACACACAAAAAAGTAATCTAGAGTTTTTACTTTTAGAGGTTGTAAATTTTTATTCAAAGAATTCTTTTTTCATAAGTGCCCGCCCAAAATATCACCTAGTCGCCAATTGGCGAACATTTAGACATAAGAATAAGGGTTTATAGCACAAAAACCCCAAATCGGTATACATGTAACAAATTTACCTTAAACTAATTTTTTGACCACAAAAAACCCTAAACTGGTACAACTTTGACAAATTTATCCTAAATTAATTTTTAACTACCAAAAGCCCCAAACTGGTATATTTGTAACAAATTTACCCTTTGTAATTTCCATTAAATTGGATTAATACCACGAAAAATCACAAATTGTTACACATGTCACAAACGAAGGGTAAAACCTCAAACCGGTACCCCGTTAAATGCCACGTGTCATTCAACTCAGTAAATTGATGGTAAAATTTAACGGAAACTAACAAAAGGTAAATTTATCACAGGTGTATCAATTTAGGGTTTGAGTAAATTTATCACAAACATATGAGTTTAGAGTTTTTTGTATCATTAACCCTAAAAATAATGTCCACTTTAGTCCTTATTTGAGAAAACTGTACCACTTTATACCCTTATTTGAAATTTCCACTTTTTTCGTACTCCAACCTAGAAATTTCTAGGGACAACCTAATGATCGAAGGAGCGTGGCTGCTTAGGAAGAACACGCCCCTCTGCTTTTCTCCCCTCCGTTTCCTCACTTTCCAAGGAACAGAAATCACAACCGACAGACCCACATCTCTGTTTCGACCTCTCTTCTTCGCTTTTAGTGTACTTGAACAGCACGCACCATTGCAGGCGACATGCTACTGAGGAAACGAGGTGAACACTCGATTGCTCACCCATGATCTTGTCGCAACGAACCGTCATTACAATTTTCTTGACATATCATTCAATTGTACTAATTTTTTTCCTTCTGATTAAGCTGCGAGACTGAGAATCTTCTGATGCTGCAGGAACAGTTTCGTGCTTCAGGTCTCGATGCGGTAGAGTTTATAATGCTTCCAAGAAGTTCTTGTCGTTGAATCAGCCACCTCCGTGGCACGGTGCAAGTACCGGTATCTCCTCTTTCAGCGAGGCTAACCATGAAGATTCAAGAAAACTTAACGACTTGCGACGATCGGTCGACAGCATCTGCAGTATCTTAAAAAGGGGTCCTTGGGGACCTTCCGTAGAGAGTGCCCTTTCGGTGCTCGACGAAATGCCGAAACCAGAATTGGTTATTGGGGTGTTAAGGAGAATGGAGGACTTCGATCTAGCTCTCCATTTTTTTCGCTGGGTTGAGACAAAAACCGACCAAGCTCATTGCCCGGAGGCGTACAACACGCTTCTCATGGTAATTGCGAGGACAAGAAAGTTTGATAGAATTGAAGAGATGTTAGAAGAAATGAGCCTTGCTGGATTCGGTCCATCTAACAGGGCGTGTGTTGAGTTAATCTCGGTCTGTGTGAGGTCACGCAAGCCCAGAGAAGCTTTTCAGCTGATTCAGATGATGAGGAAGTTCAAATTTCGTCCTGCGTTTTCAGCTTATACCACCTTGATTGGTGCTCTTTCTGCAGTTCAGGAATCTGATCTCATGCTTACTCTCCTTCACCAAATGCAAGAGCTGGGTTATGAAGTGAGCTTACATTTGTTTACAACCATTATCCGTGCATTTGCAAGGGAGGACCGAGTTGATGCTGCCCTTTCTCTGTTGGATGAAATGAAAAGCAACTCTTTTCAAGCTGACATAGTTCTGTACAATGTCTGCATTGACTGCTTTGGTAAGGTTGGTAAGGTGGATATGGCATGGAAATTCTTTCATGAAATGAAAGTTCATGGTATAATGCCTGATGACGTGACATATACCAGTATGATAGCGGTTCTCTGCAAAGCGAATAGATTGGATGAAGCAGTGGAGTTATTCAAACAGATGGATCGCATCAGGGAAGTCCCCTGTGTTTATGCCTATAATACATTGATCATGGGTTATGGATCAGCTGGGAAGTTTGAGGAAGCATACAGTTTACTTGAGAGACAGAAGGCAAAAGGGTGCATTCCAGGTGTGATAGCATATAATGGCATTCTTACTTGCCTAGGGAGGAAGTGTAGAGTGGAAGAGGCGTTGAGGATTTTTCATGAGATGAAAAAAGATGCAGCTCCTAATCTTATAACATATAATATCCTGATAGACATGCTTTGCAAGGCAGGGAAACTTGAAGCTGCATCTGAAGTTAGGGATGCCATGAAGGAAGCCGGGTTGTTTCCTAATGTAATAACTATTAACATAATGATTGATCGCCTCTGTAAGGCTGAAAAGCTTGATGAGGCTTGTTCTATATTTGATGAAATGGATCATATGGTCTGTATCCCGAATGCTGTTACATTTTGCTCGCTAATTGATGGCTTGGGAAGACATGGCAGAGTTGATGATGCGTATAGGCTTTATGAGAAGATGCTCGATTCAGGTCATGTTCCAGACGCAGTCGTTTTTACCTCCCTCATTAAGAACTTCTTCAAGTCTGGCAGGAAGGAGGATGGACACAAGATATACAAGGAAATGGTCCGGAGGGGCTGTTCTCCTGACCTGACACTTCTTAATACCTACACGGATTGTGTGTTTAAAGCTGGTGAGACAGAGAAAGGAAGGTCTTTATTTGAGGAAATAAAAGCTCAGGGATTTACTCCAGATGCAACAAGTTATTCTGTTTTGATACATGGCCTTGTGAAAGCAGGTTTTGCAAATGAAACCTATCAGCTGTTCTATGCAATGAAGGAGCAAGGTTGTGTTCTAGATACCCGTGCTTACAACACTGTGATTGATGGATTCTGCAAGTCAGGTAAAGTTAACAAAGCTTATCAGCTACTGGAGGAAATGAAGTCCAAGGGTCACCAGCCCACTGTTGTTACCTATGGCTCTGTCATTGATGGGCTTGCTAAGATTGACAGGCTTGATGAGGCATACATGCTTTTCGAAGAGGCTAAAGCGCAAGGAGTGGAGTTAAATGTTGTAATTTATAGCAGTCTTATTGATGGCTTTGGTAAAGTGGGTAGAATCGATGAAGCATACTTAATCATGGAAGAGCTGTTGCAAAATGGTTTGACTCCCAATGTTTACACTTGGAATTGTTTACTCGATGCATTGGTGAAAGCAGAGGAAATAGATGAAGCCCTTGTCTGCTTTCAATCCATGAAAGACCAAAACTGCGATCTCAACCATTTCACTTACAGCATCATCATAAACGGTCTTTGCAAAGTTAGAAAATTCAATAAAGCCTTTGTGCTTTGGCAGGAGATGCAGAAGAAAGGTCTGAAGCCAAATACGATGACCTACACGACGATGATATCTGGACTTGCAAAAGCTGGGAATGTTATGGATGCTAATGGGCTATTTGAGAAATTTAAGGCTAGCGGCGGCATTCCTGATTCTGCCACTTTTAATGCCATAATAGAAGGGTTAAGCAGTGCAAATAGGGCAATGGATGCATACTCATTATTTGAGGAAACTAGGTTAAAAGGTCATAAGATTCATACAAAAACATGTGTGGTTCTTTTAGATGCATTACATAAGGCTGAGTGTCTTGAGCAGGCAGCAATCGTTGGTGCTGTTTTGAGAGAAATAGCGAAGTCTCAGCATGCTTCTAAACACTGGTAACGTGTAATAAGTTCATCCTATTGCAGAGGGAGGAGGTTCTCTGGTTTGCTAGAAATAGCCCCTTGAGCCTCAGGGATCTCATTGTGTTGGAGCAATCACTAGGCCATTCACTTACTGAGCCTCTTTCCAGCCTCCATTGAGAAAATGCTGTCCCTCTAGATTCTTCATTTCAGCATCATTGGTTTAAAGGTGCACCCTTGACTAATCATATCAGTGACACACTTGTTATTGTTATAATACGGTGAATCGAAAGAGGCATGCACATTGAGTTGGAGATGCAATATATTTTTCTAATGACTTGCCCAATTCAGCAGGCCAAGTTTTAAATGGAGCATTTAGGCGGTGACATTTTTCTAGTCTCGACTTTTTTGTCAAATCATAAGCTCTCTCAGACCAAATATGGGACTTAAAACCTCATGGACTTCCTCTCTTGTAGCATCATTAACTTTCTTGTAATGTCGGCCCATCTGGTCTGGATCATATTTGGTAAGCAGGATTCTAAAGATGGCCCAACAGGTTTGACAGTTGTTCGTATCATGTATCACCTTGTCTTGAATGAGTTTGATAGGTGGCTCTCATGTGTAGCTTTTTGTCTTGGGCGACAGTTAGTTCCTAGTCTTTCAGCTGGTGTATGATTTTTATACCATTTGTAATGATCAGACTTGACACATACCAGGCAAGTGCACAAAAGGAGTATACAGGTGGTAATAGTTTGGCGGGGGGCTGGTGTACGGCAGGGGTGAATCTTTATTTATGTATCAGCTACTCTATGGCCAGATGCGGAACATGGGATGCTACAATTTTTCTTGGTATAGTTGCGTCAAGGTTCTTGGGAGGAGGCAACCTTTTGTTGTACTGCAGTTTACCTTGTTTTCTTTTCCAAAATCTGAAAAAAAAAAAATACTGTGCATCGCAAGAGTAGGTGAAGTTTTGCATTGTAAAATGAATAATTAGGGCTGCAAGCCTGCAATAAAAATATTTGTGAAGATGATCTCTAGTTTTACTATAATCTGCGACTTGAATTTTTTTTTTTTTTTTTTATACCCAGGATCTGGCCTGGCACAACCTTACGGGTGCTCACGGCCACCACGGGCCCGATAGGCCCAACGACGACCACCGACTATACCTGGAGGGGAGCTAGCCCAGGAACCCACCACCAGGACTCCCCACTTAAGACGCTAGCGACTGGAAGATTCGAACTCATTCCCTCGGCGATGAGATAGTAGAGCGCAAATCATCTCAGCCACCCACCGGTGGGTTCTGTGACTTGCATTTGATCATTACTTTAGTTGATTTGGGTGGACCGTTCTCTGTATTTTCAGGTTCTTGATATTGGCTGCGAAATGGTATGCATATATTCCTGCAGATGGTCAATTTGTGCGATTGTTGTGCACCTTTGGTTAAAGAAGAGTTCGTGTGCATTTTCATCAAAATGATGATGCTGCAGTACTTTTTGCTGAAGCTGCAATATCCTCCGTTAATCCAGGCACTTGGATTTTCTGCTCAGATACCGTTATACCTTTGAAAGACTGTCAAACCTCCTCCAGATTCAAATCTGCCTGAAAGTTACATTTTTTGTGATTTGGTAATTTGTGTTTATGGTTAAGCCAATAATTCAGAATTGTGTTATTTGTAAATCATAGCAACAAACTTTGAGAATAGAAAAGATAGCTGAGAGAATATATCCATTGTAGTATTGCGGTTCAGGTTTGCCATATTCTATATATCTTTTGTCCTTGCTTCTTGCGTTTAGCGAGAGATTAATTTAGGATATTTTATTCAGCAACCACTCCTCTTCTTCAATTTGATTAATGGAAGACATCCATATGACGTTACTTGCATGCTTCTATTTTTAAGAGTGGTTATGGGCCAAATGCAATTACTCCATTTTTTATCCTCTCATTCTCATGTCCTTTCTATGTCATCTACTTTTAAGGATAGCATTGTTGGAGAGAGGGGTCATTGAATGTGAATTTTTCAAGCTCCCTTCTCAAAGACATCAATGAGAAGCCAACTTCTGCCTTATAAATATCGTTATATTGCATTCTTTGAGTACACAAGGTACAGAAGTCTTTGGCTGTGTCAAATTGAGTGTGCGGTCATACTACATGATTTGGAATGTAACTGATAGGACGAATCAAGGCATATTTCTGCTATGATGAGCTCTTATTGTTATAAAATCTTGCCAAATGATTGGGGAAAATCTGGCATGCCTACTCTTTCATGGGAGGCAGGGTTGTGGGAAGACGGCGGATTAAAAGTTGTGCTACGGAGAACTGTGGAATTGGTGGAGAAGATTGTGATACATTCGTCGATATATTTGAAGGTGGTTTTCTTTTATATAGCAACTTGTCTTTCGAAGCTCCCATCAACGCGAGAAAGCACCTTGAAGAACTGGATTTTCCGTGCAAAGCTGTGAATGATATGTCTTTGGTTGCAGGTTCTTTGCTCGGATCTCCTCCCTCTCATATGTTGCTGCAGTTTGTGATTCAAAGTTGATAACAAACTTTTAGGTTTCATTTCAAGTTTCAGTAATTTCAGAATGCCATGTTTATCTAGTTACTTAGCTTCACCCTGCAGTGTAAGTTCTGGAAGTTTTGGTTTGTTTGACTGGTGATCAATGTCAAGAATGAACTTAACCTTTTTCCATCCCCAATGGCAAACAGGCTTTGAGGGGGAATTACGGCACCTCTTTGTATGGCCGTATAAAGCATACACTTCAACGTTGAAGTGTACAAGAAATAACTGATTAAATGGCTATCATCTAGATGCTTCTAAGCCCATGGGTACAAGAAATCAGTGCTGACACTTGCAAGAACTGCTGTCTTTTGAATATTTCATGTGCTGTAGACAGTCCTTCAGGTGTTCTCATGGGGCATCTCCAACTGGTTACTACAGCCAAGAGCAAGATCAGAACACTTCAAACAACATAGGAAGTGTATATTTCCGAACCTGGCTCAAGGTGATGGAAATGGTTAATTTAGGTCAGTACGAGTACATGTCAGGGGAGCTGTTGATACGTTGGCAGGTATGGACATGGAAATGCATTTGTGTCAGCAGCTGCATGGCCACCAACACACTTTGTCTTTTCTCGTGTGCCTTTTGATGTTGGCAGCAGAAATTGCCCGCAAGCTCTTGCTAATGACGATTCAGAAGCCAGAGGTGACGAGGGTGGTGATTTGTTGGGAGTTGAATTGATGGCTCTGGTTGGGCTGATCCAGGGAGGAAGTAACGCAGCTAATAGGCACACAGGTGTAATTGTGAGAGGTTACGAGACAGATCTTCAGAGCAGATTGTCTCGAACTTCTATTGTGGGACCAAGTGGAAATGCCTTCCCATGCAGATGCTTGATCATATACCAGTGACGACGTTGGAATTGAATGGGATAGTCATAGTCATTTTCCTTCTTTCCGTTATGGGTAAGCTATTACTTCTTTATTGAACTAACTGTTTCAAAGACAGATGGAGAGAATGCAGGAAAATGGCACTAGAAGTGCCATAACTTTCGTGCGACGCTTACTTTAATGCCAAAACTTTTCGTCGAATCACTTAAGTATCAAATCGGAGAAAAGACATCATTTAAGTGTCTCTGATGACAAATTCTGACCAAAAGTACTACGTAGCTTTTTTTAATTAATAATAATTCATACGTGGCTCCTTTTTATTAAAAAACAAGTCCAACATGCACTATGAGTAGAGGTGTACAAAAGAACCGGGAACCACTCGGACCGCCCGGAACCGGTGGTTCCTAAGGGAACCAGTCTGATTCCCGGTTCCAATTTTTGGGAACCAGTGGATATCGGTCCGGTTCCCAATTCCAGGTGTGGAACTGCCCACCCGGACTAGACTGAATCGGTAATATAATAATAATATAATATATTTATTTAATTTTTAATTTTAAAAAAATCTTAAATCCCTAAACTAAATCTAACTTGCTTAACGGTCACAACCTCACACTGAGCTGAGAGACACTTTTTTTTGCTTTCGCCTCATGCTTACTCTTACTCCCACTGTCTCACTCTTTTCGGTCGATGCTCACCTTAGTGTTTCCGACTCTCCGTCTTCGTCCTTGACTAGTGGGACCGATTCCATGGACCCACCTGAGAACCGCACTAGACCAGTGATCCGTTTCCCGGATGGGTCCATGGAACCAACAGGCGGTTTCCGATTCTTGGGTGGGAACCATCCACCCGGACCATGCTCACCCCTAACTATGAGGTGGTTTGACTTTCCATAAATAATGCCGTATGGTCGTTCAATCTCCTTCACTTTCTCATTCAGCAACAACAGAGAAGAGCCTTTCCCAGTGCACCACAGTTCATATTTTCTCTATGGAGTTCAATAAATTCTAAATATGACTTCAATTCCTTCTTGATCTATCTTATACTTTATGTTTCGTTTTGTGAATTTTTTTTTTTCATTCTATTGCTGTCCGCCAAATTCCATTGCTGTTGGTTGTGCTATGAATGAGGAAATTAAGGGCGCGCGTGATAACCATTATATTTCTTTGTTTTTTTTATTTTTCTGTTCCCGGAAACATGTTTGGAACATAAATCCATTTGGTAATGCAATTTCATTTTTCTATTTATGGAACAAATTTATACTCCAAAAATAGGTTTGGAACAGAAATCAAAAGTAAAAATTTTCTACTTTTCTATTTCTAAAATAAAAATGAGAAATAAAAACTTTTCTCATCGCTAGCCCTTGCTACTAGCCGCCCGCCCTCCCGCCTCTCACTGTCCACCACTGGCTGCCTCTCATCGTTGTCCACCACTGGCTACCTCTCACCGCTATCCTCCTCCTCCCACCACCATCCTCCGCTGATCGACGTCCGTCACCGTCCTCCGCCGATCGACGTCTGTCACCGTTTGCCGCCGCTTGCCGGCCGCCGCCCACCATCAGTTGGCTTCCAACACCGCCCGACGCCGTCCGCCGCCACCCGCCATCCTCAGTCGCTCGCTAGCTGTCCACCCGCCGTCACCGTGGCTGCAAATCTAGAGATGGGCTAGCAACTTCCTGATGATGTTGAGATGGAGCTCTTCATGGCTGTGTAGTCGAGAATCAATGGGGTGAAATTGGGAATGAGCCCCAATCTAAGAGGTTGCCTAGCCCATATTAAGCTTCGACTAAGCGATGGCCTTCATTACCTTCCTCATCTTCATCAACCCTTCATCATCTTCCACCTTTTCTTCTTCTTTGATTGTCTGCAAATTAAAAAAAAAAATTAATGTCAAACGTGGACAAAAATCCTAATTTGGACAAATCAAAATTAGGATTTATATTTGGGGTAAAGATGTAGACGATGTCATTTAGGGCTATTAATGTTGACTAGGCACGCCGACGAGCCACGTCGGTCAAGGGAATTGATAAAAAATTGGCACGTCAGATTTCTGGCAACTCAAATCGGAGTTGGCACTTCGTTTTATTAGAAAGTGGCATTTAAGTTATCCAACCAAAAGTTTTGATACCAAAGTGAGCATCATACAAAAGTTATGGCACTTCTAGTGTCATTTTCCAAAGAGAATGCGAAGACTTTTTTTCTTATGGTTTTAGAATTTCTTTAGCAAGGCTATTTAGCTGGAACTATTGGTTAAATCCAATTTTACATGAATAAGAGTTGAATTTCATTTAGTCTGTTGTTTCATCTTTTCTGGTCTCCTGGGAGAAGCTTGTCAATGTTCTGCTTCTTTCCTGCAGTTTACATGGGGCAGGCTTAGCAGTTGATTGCAGAAGAATTCATGTAACATTTACTTATTTCAGAGAGTTATTCGTGGAAGTTGGTATTTGCAGACTATTGTTTGGCTTTATCTTCTGTTGGTCCTCATTGCTTTATAATTTTCTGCAGTATGTGTGTTTTGATTCCTAAAAAGAACAGTAAACCGAAGTTTTATCTCATCCATGTGTTGGGTCTGATTTTGTTGTGTTAGGATGTGCACGGGCTCAGTGATGGCCAAGTCAAGCACTCGGCGGAAACATTTTATGCAGGTGGATTAAGGAAGGTAGATCATA